TTTTTTTTTTTTTTTAAGAAAATACAATTTTTTTATAAGGAAATTATTCAAAGGTCATCTTGTAATTTTTCCAAGAATCAAGCCATTTATCGATGTCGTCTTGTGAGTGGAAGTGGAGTGGAGTAATAATCGGACAATGCAATATCTGAGGACTATAATGGGTGGAGTAGAACTTCCTATTTAAGCATTTTTGGGTAGGTTTTAACGAGTCTGAAAATCTCTGACGCATCAGTTATGTATTTATTTAATTTTTTTAAATCATTCTCAGCGTATATTGTCGCTTTGAAATGACTTGGCCGTTACCAATGTTAAAGCAAGCTCTTCTTATGTTTATCTTGGATCCCCAAGCTTCCAATTCAACGTCTTCGAAGGGTTTTGGTCTTCCTTCACGCGAACGGTCGTTAATATCGAAATTGCCGCCTCTGCAGCGACGAAACCAATCACAACACGTTGTTTCACTTGAGGTAGCACGTTCGTAAACTTTTTGGAGTTCCCGATGTGCTTCAGTTGCCGATTTTTTTTTATTGAGAAAAGAAAATCAACTCTCCCGCAAATGACGATTATTTGGCAAAAAGTCGGACATATTTGCGCCACCAAAACTAAATGACACATAAGCAAAGTTAATAACTAAGACTAGGTTTACGATACCAAAGTCAAGGCAATCCCACTATGTTCTATGAAGCCCTTAAGTGGTTGAGGGCCCTAGAAAATATCACACTTGCGTTGAAGCTAGAGAGTGTTCAACTGGCGGCGCTCATTAATTATGTATGTAGAGCACTGAGTTCACTCAAACCATGGAACTTAATGCTATTCTACATATAGTATAGCACAAGTTTCTATCCAACTCAGAAAATCTTAGTTTTTAAATGAAGACGTGCTTGAGCACGCCAAATAAACTCTGTCGGCTTTTTTCCACTTACTTGCGCGGAAGTTGTAGGTCCGTCCCTCTCCTACAGTACGGTAGGCTTCTTGGTGGACGTGTCAATGCTTTGGAAAGATTGGTGCAGGGGTATATTATCAGGAGCTCTCCATTAACTTTAGTTTCATACTTCCAGCCTATTGCAATGTTTTTCAACTCGGGGTTGCTGCCATTAAAGCAGCGGTAGACGAAAGCAGGATAACGATGCGAGCCTTGAGTTCACTGACCGTGCGTTTAGTGCTGGTTAAGGAATGCCCAACCTCGTTACCAATGGAATTGAGTCACTTATTTTAAGACTATTATGGGTAGCAGGCCACAGCGGAAACTGTAAAGCTGAAGAGCTTGCAAAGAAAGGTACCCTAACCTCGCTATCAGTAGAATAGAAACAGATCGATCCTACCCAAACTTCATCACAGCTGAGTTCATGCGCTATCGCCAGATCATTTTGGATCAATCTCAATCGTAAGCTCCTTGCCCTTAGATCTATCTCAGTAAGGCCAACCTCTCCCTAGTGGGGGTAGTTCTAAAAGGCCTAAGCCAATTGTTTTTGGCCACAAGGCGCTTGACTGACTTGTAAGATCGAAATCGATAAACAGGAGTTCTGTTTTTATAGCATCACAAGGGACTGTATATAAGTAGCAATCCCAGAATAAAAATTAATTTCGTTTTCATTTTCAGAAAATTTTTAATAATTATTATTACACATTTTTTGAGTAGTTTTTCAAAATATTAAATTGCAAAATCGCACATTCGCTGTCCTAAATTACCAGAAATATTGTGCTCATCGATTCAATTTCCCTTTACATTTATTTTAACGAACAGTTCTATTTTTTGTGCATATAAAAATCTATTTTATGAATTTCATATTTTTAGAATACTTGCCTAATTCGCGCATAAACAAAAATTCAGAAAAAAATATTTTTTTTTGCAATATTTCAACGATAAATTCTCTAATTGACACATTCGTCTAACAAAAGCAAATCAATAAAAGCGAGTTGAACGCACTTTACGCCGCTACAAAGCCAAAGCATGGAGGCGATGTATCAAAATAAGTAAAAGAGCGTGTTAAAAATAAATAAATTTGCGAAAAATTGTTAAAAATTCGCAAAGCGTCATTCATATTTCTTTTTTCTCGCTTTAAAAGCCTCCCCATTCATTCGTTTCGTTCATTTGTTTTTTGATTGCATTCATAAGCGTATCTGCGCAAGCAGTACGCTGTGAAAGTTATTGCAGATGCAACTGCATTCGCCCACCTGTGTGTGTGTGTGTGTGTGTGCATAGCTAACTGCCTGACTGGTTAATTGGCTGCTTTTGCAGAAGATGCGCTTGACCAAGCGGCAGCTGGCCACAGATTTGAGATTTGAGTGAAATGTGCAAAAAATTACAACAAAATGCAAATTTGCAATTCTGCAATTTTTAGTGAAAATGTGGAAAATAATTAATATTTTTACTTTTGGATTACACAGCAAGTGCCTTAGAGAGCTAACGGCTGATGTTAGTCTGGTGAATTTTGTCTGAAACTACTACCCGGCGGGTACTGCGTCGAATACTTTCAGAGCTGGAGTGTTTTTGTCCATTCGGACAACATGACCTAGCCAGCGTAGCCGCTGTCTTTTAATTCGCTGAACTATGTCAATGTCGTCGTATATCTCGTACAGCTCATCGTTCCATCGAATGCGATATTCGCCGTGGTCAACGCGCAAAGGACCATAAATCTTTCGCAGAACTTTTCTCTCGAAAACTCGCAACGCCGACTCATCTGTTGTTGTCATCGTCCAAGCCTCTGCACCATATAGGAGGACGGGAATTATGAGTGACTTATAGAGTTTGGTTTTTGTTTGTCGAGAGAGGACTTTGCTTATCAAAAGGGGGGTCTCTCATCCGAGGCTGTTTGTTTTCTTTCATTGGGGGTGTTTTTTACGTGGCGGGTCCCAAACCCAGCGCACAACCCTATGTAGGGAATATTTCGCCTTCTCACTTTAGCTCGCCTTCGAACGGATGYTCTTAGGCTACCCAGAGGATACTTGGTCAAAGACCGGAAGTCGTGAGCTGCTTGAGTCATATGTAAAAGAATCGTTTCTGGCCATTCCCAAGTGAATGGCGATCAGAGACTTTCCTCACTGGCGTGAACTTCTACACATGACCCCATCCTCCTATGTATACTACATTTTATTACTTTTTAATTTATTGAATCGAAAATTTTATTTCATATTAAAAAACTACTTAACTTATATAATAATTTCGTTGCATTAGAGCTAAACTTTTTTATTATTACTTATCAATTATTACTTAAACTTATTGAAAACCGAATTTATCTATAAAGTAAAATTATTTACCGTTTACCTTCTCACATCAATTCCTTCCTTGGCGTTATTGTGGCTTAGCACGGTGTACTGCCGTGCATCAAAATCCTGTGCCATACAACGTCACGCTTGACGAACCACTTATTAAACCAACACCGCAGACACAAAAATATTAATTAAGGAAGCTTAAAGAGTTTTGCGAATTGCGATTGAGTGGCAACATCTAATTATTGCTATATTTCACTGCAGTATTTTCAAACAAATTAAAATAAATTATTAGGATTTAAAGTAAAAGTCTTTGACTAAAATAGTTAAGAAAATGGGTAAACAATTTTTGAAAAAATTGTCAAAAAAAAATGTCTCTAAATTATTTTTGGTAATTTTGAAGAAAAATTTTGAAAATTTACAAATGAATGAGGTTGAAATATACATATATCTGAATTTCAAAAAATTTGTTGAACAACTTTTTAAAAAATGGTTGGAAAAGTTATAAAAATTTCAAAAAACATTCAAACCGTAACACATTTTTGTTTTAAAAAACTGGAAAAAATTATTTTACATAAATTTAAAACGTTTACAAATTAAAGAATTTGAAATATATATACATATATAAAGTAATTTCAATAAAATTGTTCAAAATATCATGGAAAACTGGAAAAAGTTTTGAAAAATTCCAAAAAAAATTAATTTCACACTTTTAATTAAATATTCGAAATATTCTAGGTTTCCACAATTAAAATTAATTTTACAAATTAAAGCTTTTGAAATATATAAAATCATTTTAATAAAATTGTTTTCAATTTGTAAAACTGGAGAAAAGTTTTGAAATGTTACAAAAAACTTTTACTTTCTCACTTCTAATGAAATATTTAAAATTTTCTAGATTTTCAAAATTAAAATCAATTAATATTTGCGTACAAATGTATAGAACGATAAAATTTTAAAGTCTAAACTCATCTCCGATTTAAGCAGCAATTAAGTTAAACAAATGTAACCTGTTTCTCATATGAAATTCCAATATTGTGAAAATTTGTTCACTAAAATTATCTTTCAAAACAACTAACTAACAGGCAAGAACTACTGCCCAAATAAAAAAATAAAAATTTGAATTCAAATACCATAAAATATTAAAATTTCAATTTCAAAATAATATTAAAATTTTAGTCTAAATACTGAAAATAATAAAACAGCCTAACGGATTAATAATTATGAATAATAATTCATAATAAATT